CTGCAGGCGGAACAGGAAGATCGGGTATAACCTGTGCTCAACACGCTCTGCTGACATCAGAGAACATGCTGTGAAAACAATTTCCAGATACGACCTAAAATGTACTTCTTGAAATAGGATATATTCTTTTTTCTTGTCTGTTTGTAGGCTTTACGGAGCTATAAGGTGACGCTCTCAGTAGACCCCAAATATCACCCCAAAATCATAGGCCGCAAAGGAGCTGTCATCTCTCAAATACGCAAAGACTACGATGTCAACGTGCAGTTCCCTGACAAGGGTGATGAGCAGCAGGTATGAAAGCAGATTGCTTTCGAAAGAGCATTTCCTAGTTCTTTAACCCAGACTGGGTTCATACCTTTCATACCTGTCATCCTGCTTCTGTGTGTTTAGCTGTCAGTCTTTCTTCACGCGACTCTGTCTCCCTCTAGGATGTAATCGTGATCTCGGGTTATGAGAGGAATGCTAACGAGGCCAGGGCGGCTATAGAGCAGCTGGTGGCAGCGCTGCAGGATATGGTGAGTGAGGACATCCGGCTGGACCGGCGGGTCCACGCACGCATCATCGGAGCACGCGGCAAAGCCATTCGGAAACTCATGGAGGAGTTCAAAGTAAGAACACTTTGCATATTTGCCAATAGTGACAAAACTATATAACATCTAAATTAGTCATAATATTTTATATAATAATAATAATGATGATGATGCTGATTCAGTTTATTATTAGAAACTTTGGAGTAAAATATTTAACATAATAATAACAATCAATAACAATCATTATGATAATTATTATTAATTGTTATTATTATTAAAAAATAATCACCATCACCAATATTTAACATCATTATCATAATAGTAATTAATAATGATGATTATGATCAATAACAATCATTATGATCATTATTATTATCTGTTGTTGTTGTTATTATTATTATTATTAAAAATAATTAACATCACCAGTATTTAACAACATAATAATAATATTAATAATGATAATGATGATCAATAACCATCATTATAATATGTATTAACTATTATTATTATTAAAAAATAATTGCATTTACCAATATTTAACATCAGAATCATAATATTAATAATGATGATGATGATGATCAATAACAATCATTGATAATTATTATTAACTATTATTATTATTATTAAAAATAATTACCATCACTAATATTTAACATCATAATCATAATATTAATAACGATAATGATGACCAATAACATCATTATAATATTTATTATTAACTATTATTATTGTTAAAATCATCACCAATAAAAATATTAACTACTATTGTTATTTTATTATTATCATAATTATCAATAATAATAACAATTTGTATTATTACTGTTATATTAAAAACAATTACCATCATCAGTAATAATAATAATAATAATAATAATAATGATGAATAATTTATAAGTTTTATTCGCCAATAGTGCCATAATTATATAACATCTAAAATTTGTAGTCATAATATTTATAAGTATAATATTAAAAAGTCTAACAGCAACTATGTTTATAATAATAGTAGTAATATTATAATATATAAAATATATAAAAATTAACTTAATAATAATACTTAAAGGGGTCATATGATGCGATTTCAATTTTTCCTTTCTCTTTGGAGTGTTACAAGCTCCAAGCTCATAAAGAAGATCTGTAAAGTTGCAAAGACTAAAGTCTCAAGCTTTGTAAAAATCGACGCGTTTCAGAAAGGCGGGGCATAGAGGAGAAACAATAATGTACAGTATGTGGAAAATAATGTGTTTTTTTAACCTTAAACCGCATAAACACATTTCATTACACCAAATACACAAAATAATGGTCTTTTTAGCAGCATCATATGACCCCTTTAAGAACATTTTTTTTGTTATTAAAACATTTAGTTATATACATATTTCATAATAAAAATACATATTGAAAATTAATAATTCAGGCAGATAATAGCTATATCTCATATTTGGTTCATGGGATCCTTAATAATTTTCTTCTTTTTTTAGGTTGACATACGGTTTCCTCAGCCAGGTTCTGAGGACCCGAGCAAGGTTACTGTAACTGGACTGCCGGAGAATGTTGATAACGCCATTGACCATCTACTTAACCTGGAAGAAGAATATGTGAGTTGGGAATCCACTGCAAATGCTTCTTTCTAAACAGATATATTCCATCACTTGTGTTTTCCTTTCTTTTGGATCCTCGCTCACTCATCTTCCCTCTTAGATGTTGAGTGTCACAGAGACAGAGACTATGGCAGCTTATATGAAGCCTCCTTCAAAGACGGTGGGGACAGGAGGAAATGACGAGGATAACAAAGCTCTAGCAAAAGGCTTTGTTGTGCGGGACGCCCCTTGGAATGCACAAGGCAACAAGGTTTAAAAGAATATGTTTACCACGGTAAAAGCTTGATTTCAAGCTGTCACTATCATTGTCATATTAATGATTTCCTTTTTATTCTTTTTGCAACATTCAGGCACCAGACATGAGCAGTGCCGAAGAGTTCCCCACGTTCGGATCTGGAATAGCACCGAAACAGACATCTGCATGGGGACCCAAAAAGTGCTGAATGAAACAGATATGTTCTGACTCCAGATCTCACATCTCAGCACTTGAGAACAAGAACATTCCATATTGTTGCTCTTGTCTTTCTCCTGGTGCATTTAGTGCCCTTGGAGGAGTTACTTCTGTCCTCTCTTTCCTTTGCCTGAATAGTTCCTTATCATTGGTGGATAAATGTTCATCAGCACTCCTCAAATGCCCGCAGGTGGTCACACATCAGTATCTGTTGTGCCACTCTGATATCACAGAAATGGAACCTCAAGTAGCAGTTACTGTCATTATCCTGTTGTTTTCTTGAGTTGGGTGACAAATGGCTAGGCATTAAAGAACGAGGCAGATGTTTTTATTTCTTGGACTATTTATTGCAAGAGAACCCCTAGTTCACTGTGTATAAGTTATTTTTTAAGTCCTTGATGGTTTTTCTGTTATTTATTGATTTTCTTCAGTGACTGAATATTCAAACTGATGGGTGTGGATGGTTTTGAAGCATAAAAAGCATTAGGTATTATTTTGCAGTATAGTTTCGTTTCTTTTGCTTCTGGGTATTATTTTGTGTGTGTGTGTGTGTGTGTGTGTGTGTGTGTGTTAGATGTAGCTCATTTTCAAAAGAAGTGTGTGTTGCGTGATATACTTTGAATCTCAAAATGTTCAATTTGCTGTTTATGTTTGAAGTATTTTTCACTTTTCCTTTGTCTATAACTCCTAAAAAGTGCAGGAAATGGAAGAGATTTGTGATTTCATTTCATAAGATTTACATTTTTCAACCGAGCATACGTGACAAAGACTTCAAATGAAAAGTCTCTGAAAAGTTGTTTATTAACAGAACACACTGTATGAGCAACTGTATGTAGTTTTGTGTATTTTTGAGACTTTGGAGCCCGCTACAGTTAAGTAAGTGGAATTCACTGTAAATATATCACTGTCGTAATTACAGTGGATTGCTATGCGATGATACCGTAAAGCAGCCCGCTCTTTTCTCGAAGTTTCATACTCGTTCACTAAACTTTAAACTTTACATCAGGAAACAAGTTTGGGGGAAGCGTGAGACAGAAACAGAAGACATTCGCCTTATAAGTCAGTGTAGCAGCACAATGGTTTTTCAAGGTAAAAAAAACCCTTACAGTTGCTTTAACACGAATGACAAACACACTCATGCAGATTGCTGGTTCTCAATGTGCATATGTTTACTTAAAGGTGATGGGTCTAATTTTTTTATGTTAGAATTAAAAGAATTTCTTTATACAGAGAGAACTGTAAACAGCCGTTCATATGTGGCTCTGTGGCGCTATCGATACATTTCAAAACATTGCTCTGTTTGTTTGAGCATCACAACCAGCCTGTTACAGTAACATTGGCTTAACCAATGACATGAGCTTGTTTGGATGCCTAATAATAGAAGGGAAGTATTTCATGAAACTTATTATTTTTTGCAATTCCATGTGGCGACGCTAGTGGCGCAGAAACTACACACTTCACCTTTACATTTTGATGTGTTTTGACTTGAGGGTCATTCCCTGTCCTGTTAGTTGAGTCTTGTGAGTCACTGTTGTATGTGTTGTGAAGGTATGCTAGCTAGTGTACATGGTAGAGAGAAGAACCATCTACAACCAACTGAAAATAGAAACACTATCGGCCTTAAGAAGTTAATGCCATAGGATATTTTTACCGAGATTTGATGACATTGATATGCAACACTGCAATAACATGTCAGTGACGGAACTTTCCTACTCCAAATAAAAAACCCATTCAAATAAAAGGAGATGTATTTTTGCTGTTCATTATTTCTCAAGTTTAACCTAAATGTCAAGATGTACACTTAAGGTCAAGAATATGTTTATGAATAAAAAAAAAAGACACAATATAGAAACATTATTTCAAATATACAGAGAGCCTCAAATACATTTGAGCAAAATTGACAGTAAAGACATTTACAATGTTACAACAGTTCTATTAAACTTTATATTAATCGAAGAATCCTGGAAAAAATGTGTCATAGTTTCCACAAAAAAAATATTAGGAAGCACAACAAGAAGCGGCTGATAATAAGAAATGGTTCTTGAGCACTAAATCAGCATGTTAAATTGATTTGTGAAAGAGTATGCGACATTGAAGACTGGTAATCGCTGCTGAAAATTCCTACATTACCTACATTTTAAAATATATTGCAAAAGAAAACCGTTATTTTAAATTGCAATAATATTTTACAATATTACTATTTTTACTGTAACTTTGATCAAATAAATGCAGCCTTGGTGAGCATGAGACTTCTAAAACAATTTTTTTTATAGACCCTAAACTTTTAAATATATAAAAATTGTGGTCCAAAAACAAACCTATCTATCAATCTATATACATGTGTGTGTGTGTGTGTGTGTGAGAGAGAGAGAGAGATTTGTAATTGTCATAAAATGTAATGAATTAATGGAAGACAGAACGCGATTTCCATGTGCATAATTGTCTCTTTTTTGGATTTTTATTTTCTTACAAACCAGGAAGGTAATGTTAGTGTTATGTAACAGGCTGTACAACACAACGTAAAGACATAAAAAGAACACAAACATAAACAAATAATACAAACAACTGAAAAGCAGCAATGGGCCGACACAAACCCTGTATTTTCACATTTTCCGATCTACATAGCAAGCATTCATTCAGACATCGCCCTTGGCAATAAAGCGGGATTGCTAATGCAAAATGTACACTCAAGTATGTCATATTGGCAACAAAATAAAAAAAAATAAAAAAAAAATGGATAGAGATATGCCTTCACAGAGGGTACTGTAAGTCTAGATACAATCAAAAGAGTTGATTTTTTTGTCATCGTTTTTCCAGCAAGGGCTTACATTTGTGCAATCTTAGTCATAAGAGAATACAAAAAATGGCAATATACCTAGCATGAAGTAAACAATCTATTAAAAACAAATCACATTCCCAGTGTAAACACCAATTCTGGGGTCAGGTATACCAGTAGACGACTTTAATTCCCACAATTCCCCATGAGTCTAGGCACATCTACCTGATAGCTGAATAAACAGTCCTTCTTGTTTGATATTGAACGCAGAACATAAACAGACCTTTCCATTCAGTTTTTGTACCTGCCACCATTAATTTCAGAAACACTTGCATCCTGGTTCTTACACTAAAGTTTGTGAGTAAACAAATGGGCCCAACAGCACACGTTACTTCAGAACAGAAGTTAACCCATGTGTAAACAACATCTAAAGCAGTGAAGCATTTTAAACATAAGACAGGTGACTGACCTTAAATAATGGGCAATTTGAGACACACATTTGGCCAAAACAGACACACAAATACACATATAGCTTCTTAAACTCTCTTCTTCAGATATTTTAGAGTGCTTCTGTTTGTATGTATCCATCCAGTTAAACTATGCATGTTTGTCACAATTTGGGTCACATGAAGTGATTTTAGTGGTATGAAGAGATGCGAGTTTCACTCCATAGATTGTTACAGTTATACGTGTATTCACAAGAAGAAGAAAAAAAACATAAATTTCTTGCCTTCCTGTCTTTATGTAGCCATTTTATCCACTTTGCATTCAACTAAACACTGTTTGTTGTCATTTGTGAATAAATACACAGCTATAAGAACCAAATATAGAGCAGAATCTGGAAAATAAGTAAACAAGGAAAGCGATGAAATAACAGTTTCTTCCTGATTAGGTGATTTTGCTGCATCCTTGATCTTGTTGACATTGTCGTTGAAACAGGTCTTGGTTATTTCCAGGCTGATTTGTCCGTTGCAAGTCTTAAGAAAAACATGAGTATAAATCCAGGGTTGTGCTATGAATTGGTGCCTCTGTGTTGCTTCAGTCCAGTTTTATTTCTGTGAGAACAACAGGCTCTCAAAGCAAAAACTGACAGGGTGAGACATAGCTTTAGATGTATGAAGAGACCGAAAAAATAATGGAGAGCTTGCCGAGTTAGTGAATTTAATGAGAAAGACTAAAAATCACCCACCAGTGTCCGAAACATAAAGTGCAGGCAGTGTCTTTGTCTCTGGGGATTATCATCACCCTCCTTCAAAACAGAATAAACACAAAAGTATGTCTGAAACATGCAGAGATGAATGAGTTTGGGCAGCGAAACAATGCTTAATCCTCAACGCCTGAGGGGGGTTTATAGCGAGGAAGATGATGCCAATATCCTCACTCGAGTCTGTTTTTACTCCACCCTTATGAGCAGGCCGTACAGAAGCGTGCCTCCCTTTTCCTTGGTGATCCATTCGATTTCTGCATTGCTGAATCGAGGATCAAGAGGCTCGCTGATTCCCAGTGAAGTCGGGCCCACTTTGTAGGAGCCTGGCCGCACACACACCTGGAAGCCCACCTGGGCCTGGTGACAGCGGAGGGAACGTGGGTCTCGGAATCTGTGCAGAAAAGCGTAACTGTCATTGTTTTCAAATTCATTTTCTAGGCAATCATGTTATATTCTCTCTGGTCTTTTTCTCTAGAAGCACTGCTGTTGACTTACTGCACTTTGGGGGCAAAGACCTCCAGGCCAGAGTAGCGCATGGTTGGAGAAAGCTGCACACGGGGAATCTCTCGCTCTGGGGCACTGTTCTCCTCGGGCTCCCCATAGCTGCCGTGATCCTCTGTCTTCACCGGGGACAAGGAGAAAATGGAGGACGATTCTGCTCATGGGAAAGAGATGAGCTCAGGTGTGCAGATCAATTCTAATTCACACATTCATGCATTTCATTATCAGATCATTTGCTGTTTTTTTTTTTGTTTTTTTTGCCAAAAGTAAACAAAAAGAAAATTCAAAATTTTTTAAATGAAAAAGAATATGAACTAAACCTGCTGTTTTGAATACCAGAGACTATAGCAAATAATGATATTTAATGTACTGATCAGACATAATTATAGATTTTTTCTATACAGTTTTCTCAAGTAATATAATACAATACAATACAATACATAAATATATAAATATACAGTGGGTACGGAAAGTATTCAGACCCCCTTAAATTTTTCAGGGGGAACCTTTAATTGAAACGAGGGAATGAATAAAGCCCTGCACGGCCCAGCCCTTCCGACAGCTTATCAGAATATTCTCGGCCTACTGACTCGGGAGTGCTCGGGAGTCTGACCCGAGCACGTGTCTTTTTTCTCTCTCACTATTTCTTCCCCTTTACACAGCTGCTGTTGCAGCAAATAGGCTAGTCCAGTTTTGGTTTTTAATGGCGAAGTGGTTATATTTCTTTTCGTTTCTTTATTAAGTTAATTTAGAAATATGTTTGGAACATTTTATGTTTGTTAAATTCAAGTTGTTGTTTTTTGTAAGTAAGGACCAAGCGGCCAGCGGCAGACTGTTGAGCATATATGTTTGATCAATTTAGCCTTCTCAAATCAACATGACTTGCCTAAAATAAAATATATAGACATAAAACACCATGCAATTCACAATATTAATTTAAAAATTTAACCTAGATAAATGTGTGCTGTTAGACGCATATACAGTCGTTTGTGCGGAGAGAGGAAGTTGAAGCGCGCTTTGCAGGACATGGAGGCGCCAGCGCGATCACTTGCATTTTTTTCTTAAGAGTGGAAACTTAATATACGCCGTCATTTTTGCTCATAAAGGTAAGAGTAATACATAATTCGGAGTTGTAAAGGGTCTACTTTTATTTGTGTGCACTCACAAACAATATCAACAAAAACCTGTGCTTTTGTAAAATAATTA